CTCTACAGACACAATTTACACCAACATAGGTGTTCACATATGCTGAAATGATTCAAAAGCAAATAATTAAAATAAATGACCCTCTCACAACTAAGTAACATGCCTCACTTTCCAACCCCTCACAAAAAATAAGCTTCCCATGCCAACAAATTCCACATTTCCCTGTGCATCAGATAATTGGAATTTTAAAAACTATTTCAAACGTGCTGAATCCAACGTATTCGCGAAGGCTTTCACGGCCGGGATCTAATGGTTGTTGTGGGTTTTTCAGGCTCTTTGGCTGTGTTCTGAAGGTTGTTCTTCCTAACGTTTTGCCAGTCTCTGTGGCTGGCATTTTCAGAGGACAGCCCTCTGCGCTCTGTGCTGAATCCAATTCAAAAATTGACGTGGGAGGGTTTACCTGTAACCACACCCTCAGAGAGCACCAAATGCTTCTGTTTTCTATCTCATATTAAACAAGACCTCTCAGCAGCTTTCAATACTATCAACCACAGTATTGTCCTGACCCATCTCTCTGGAATGGGGACTTGGGGACACTGTTTTACAGTGGTTCCATCCTTCCTGGAAGACAGAACTCAGAGGGTGGTGTTGGGGGATTCATGGGGTTCGGTGTCACCAGTATGCGTATGACACCCAACTCTACCTTCTCCTTGTCACCTAAATTCACTTCAGGTCTAGATCAGTATTTGGTATAAGTAATGGACTAGATAAAGGTGAGTGGACTAGATAAAGGCCATTCAAGGAATAGGGATGCAGCCTGTACTGGATAGGGCCACATTCCTCTGAAAACACAAGTGCAAATTTTAGGAGGGCTCCTGGATTCATCTCTGAGCCTGGATGCCCAGGTCTCAGTGGTGGCCAGGAGTGCATTTGCACAATTAAAACTAGTGTACCAGCTGTGTCCGTTTCTTGAGAGATCTGATCCAGCCACTGTGACACATGCCCTAGTTACAGTACTTCCCAGCTGGATTATTGTAATGCGCTCTATGTGGGGCTGCCAATGGAAAGGGTCAGGAAACTTGATCTGTATTCGCGAAGGTCTCAGTGGTGGCCAGGAGTGCATTTGCACAATTAAAACTAGTGTACCAGCTGTGTCCGTTTCTTGAGAGATCTGATCCGGCCACTGTGACACATGCCCTAGTTACAGTACTTCCCAGCTGGATTATTGTAATGCGCTCTATGTGGGGCTGCCAATGGAAAGGGTCAGGAAACTTGATCAGGTCCAAAATGCAGCAGCCAGATTGCAGACCAGGGCTGATTACAGAGATCACATAGGCCCCCTGTTCCACTGGCTGCCGATCAGTTTCTCAGCACAAATAGAAGTGCTAGTTTTAACCAATAAATCCATAAATGGTCTGGGTCCAATGGGGACTTGGGGACACTGTTTTACAGTGGTTCCATCCTTCCTGGAAGACAGAACTCAGAGGGTGGTGTTGGGGGATTCATGGGGTTCGGTGTCACCAGTATGCGTATGACACCCAACTCTACCTTCTCCTTGTCACCTAAATTCACTTCAGGTCTAGATCAGTATTTGGTATAAGTAATGGACTAGATAAAGGTGAGTGGACTAGATAAAGGCCATTCAAGGAATAGGGATGCAGCCTGTACTGGATAGGGCCACATTCCTCTGAAAACACAAGTGCAAATTTTAGGAGGGCTCCTGGATTCATCTCTGAGCCTGGATGCCCAGGTCTCAGTGGTGGCCAGGAGTGCATTTGCACAATTAAAACTAGTGTACCAGCTGTGTCCGTTTCTTGAGAGATCTGATCCAGCCACTGTGACACATGCCCTAGTTACAGTACTTCCCAGCTGGATTATTGTAATGCGCTCTATGTGGGGCTGCCAATGGAAAGGGTCAGGAAACTTGATCAGGTCCAAAATGCAGCAGCCAGATTGCAGACCAGGGCTGATTACAGAGATCACATAGGCCCCCTGTTCCACTGGCTGCCGATCAGTTTCTCAGCACAAATAGAAGTGCTAGTTTTAACCAATAAATCCATAAATGGTCTGGGTCCAAGCTACCTCAAAGACTGTATCTCCCATTATGAGCTGACGGGTGTTAAGATCATCAGGAGAGGCCTTTCTCTTGGTCCTGCCACCTTCACAGGTGTGTCTGATGGGGAAACAGGAGAGAACCTTCTCTGTTGATGCTCCCAGACTTTGGAACTCCCTCCCACTGGAGTCCAAACTGGCCCCATGTTTACTGTGCTTCCACAAGCAGGCAAAGGTATTTCTCTTCAGGCAAGCCTTCTCTCAATAACTAGCTACCTGTGTGAGATTTTTAGATGGAGTGTTATGCATTACTGCTTTGACTGGATTTTAGTACTACTGTACTTGTGTTTTCCATTTCTCAGAGTAGCATTTAAAAAATATTTGTATAGTTAATGTTCTTAGCTTTAATACTGTCTTCTAATGATGTAAGATGCCTCTTTATGCATGTTGTTTTTAGTTTTAAACATTGTCTTTCAATGATGTTAACCACCATTGTATACTCATTGTTTTCAACTTTAAATATTGTGTTCCAATGCTGTAAGCCACCCTGGGTCTTTTTCAAGGAGATATTAAAGGATATGAGACTTAGCAGAGTTTGGAAGGTGATTCTTCAGAAAGTTTTATTGCCATTGCCATTATCATTTCTTTTTCCTTTAAGGTAACCTTTACCTTTACTCTTTAGCAGCCCTCCCCCTCGCTTCTCTATAATTTTGAGACATCCTCTGTCTAAAAAGCAGATTTATTGAATTTTCTATTGATTTTTAATAATTATGAATTACTGTACTGAATTACTAAACATTGCTAAACAGTGTTAATGTAATAATAAATAATGATTTCTTCATATATCAGGTTTGATAAGAAACGTTATTGCCTTCGCCACGAACCTCTCTACCAGCCAGAGCACCTCAGCAGTTTTCTCAGAGGCCATTTCATTCCTCTCCCTTGCACCTATGAGAGGCTATCCAATGGCAAAGCCATTTATTTTAACCGGACTGTTATAAGGAATGCAAAGCAGAATCTCGTCCATATGAATCACAGCATTAAGATCTAAGTTAGTTAGTTAGTTATATGCTGTCAAGTATTTCATATTAACACTGTATCCTTTCAGGATGGGGTCCATTTTTGTTCAAGCCCTTATTCTCAAATAAATTCTCTAGAAAGCTGCATCCCAAGTAAGCTATACAGCACAATCCCACAGTCACCACACTACATACGTACCACATCACTATAGTGAAACGTAGCCTGTGATCATACCAACAAGTACAAACAGCAAATTCAAAGTTACAGTACCTAATTAGTATTCAAAGATTTTACCGGTTCAGTCCAAATCATTTGTTTGTGGGTAGGATTTTATATTGCATACAGATATATTTTCTATTTCTGTAACTGAAGGGTTCCATAAATAATTCAGGAACCTTTATCCTCCAAACTGGATCCAGAACTGGTGACTCAAGAGTTTCCCTTTGATGCCATTAATCTCCTCAGGGGAAGAGGTAAGGGAGTCAACTGAGTAATGTCTAAATTGTGGAGAAGGCACTAACTAATGTCTAACTTGTGGGGTGCAGCACTAAATCTATGTATGTATGTTGATTTTGATTTCAATGTAATAAATATAGCTAGATCCCTTGCAACATTCAATTTATGTTGTATTTGTTGCATTGTTCTTGTTTTATGCAAATTTATAATGCCACTTGTCCTCCTTTGAGATGGGATGTATTTTTTGCCAAGGCCCGTGTATAGTGGCACCTTGCTGTGGGCAAGCAGTATACAAATACATGAAATAATAGAAAAATACATGCTGACTGATTTTTTTTTTTAAACCAGGGAATAAGAAAGGTTGAGTAGGAGCCTTGCATCAGGCACTACTGTGTGTGGGTAGGGAAAGCAAAACTAATGAAGATGGACTTTTGGATGGATTTGGCTTTTATCCTGAGGAATCAGGGCATTTAGCCTGATCATGCTTTTAATAAAACAATAACACAATCAACTTGTTATTCAGACACTTAAAACTTACTTCAAAAACATTCAAACTAATTATGACGCAGAACAAGAATGTATAGGATATAGGAGTCCTAGACACAACTCACTCCCATGTTTCCAATCAGGATTTAAAAATACACATGCCCCATACTACAGCCTTCACTATGTGAGGGGATGCTTTGAAAGCTATTGTATGAGGCATATGTACTGCTAAATCTTGCCACTAAAGAAGAGTATTACAAAGTACTAGAATTTTTTTTTTAAGATAACATTTCTGAAAACCCTACATAAAAGGGAGATAAAAGAAATGTTTACCTCGGCCTCCCTTCTCAATCCTTTTCTCCCTTTTATATATATATAATTTTCACCATCCAAAAATATTCTATTCCTTTTATACAGTAAGGGAGCTTTTCATTTTAACCAGATTCTGCTTAACCAGATTTAAGTCTCTGTTTTGCTTCCTCCAAAGCCAAGCATTATTTGTGCAGTGCATCCATGTAATACTGAGTTGTTCTATTTAAACAGCAAAACAACGATACAAGCAAACTAGAAATATTTTCATACAGGAACATTGTCAATTCAGGTCTGAGGGAGCGCTGAGGAAATTTTTTATTGCTACTATATAATGTCTCTGCTGCACACAGCATTCTATGCCTGCAGAGGGCAATCTGTAGGCCACTAGATCGGGTTGAGTGATAACTCCCATCGTGTCTTGCCACTGGCCAGGGTGGCTGAAGGCATTGGGAACTGAAGGTCAACAACATCTGGACATATCACCCAACCCTGTTCTATGAAGTATGTTCCATTTACTTGTATGGAGGCAAAAACAGAAACTTATGATTTATGAGACAAAGCTTCCTGCTTCTCCTTCCCTAGTAATACCAAAGGTGAAAAACAAGTTTGTACCAATTCATATCAAGAAGAGGTATTTTAATGGTTCCCTACATGTGATCTCCATTAAAATTTGCCCGACTGCAAAGTCAACTGAGTACCTTGAGGTATGTAATCACATGAACAGCTGTTCTCACCTGGAACTCTTTTTGCCCAGTTGATCATGTGCACTAGTTCTCGGTCAGCAAGGTTGGTCAACAGGCCCATCATAGAAGCTTCGTTGAAAGGTCTGCCGGGGTCATACTCTGAATAGACAACAGGTGGTTCTGCCTCTAGCAATGCACTGACCATTTGATCCGCAGTCAGAGAGAGGGCTGGGCTGTTCTTCTTATTGTGCTTCACCATCAGGGGACCTGGCCAGAAAGCACTGTTCCTCACCTCAGTGAGAGCCCCTGCAGTTCTATTGTCATGCTCCTCTCTTTGACGCTTGTTTTTCAGCATACGTACACCTCTGCGATCTTTCCGGATTCCTAGAAGATGATAAGAATATAATTAACATGCTTTCTCTTTCTTCTTCATCGAATGCAACACTACGGAAAAGTAAGGCTACCAGTTATGCAATGTTTACTTAATCCAGCCCTTAGTCAAAAGATGTTGCTATGATTCTATGATAATCAATCTTTATCATGACTCCCTAGAGGATAATATCTTAATTATAGTATGCTATAAATGGAGATCAGAAATAAAAGAGATGGCACTGGCCCAACAGCACACGGAACATATGATCAGGGAGTTGTGACACAGAATTCCTGTCAACACTGCAAGAGACGTTGAGATGCAATTCTTCACATGCAGCACACTATGGGAATGAGTCAAACTAGTCTTGAAACATGACAGTTTTTATTCCTAAACTGCCAGATCTTGCCTGTCTAATTCAGTAGCCTCTAATTATTGGTACAATTTTACCCACATGGGCCAACCTCTGGTTTGTCTGTCCAAATGTTCTTCCAACATACAGAATACTGAATCAATTTTTAGAGGTAAATGCTTAGATGTTGAAGCAATATCCAAATCTTTTTAACAATTTTGCAACTCTACAACATCGGGAGGAATGTCAGAAACAGTTTTTTGTTTTAAGTTCCCTGAATCTACCACCTACTACAGTCATTCCCCTGCCCCTTGAAGCACAGGATTCCCAACTCATTCGCTAATCTCTGATGGCAGATGGCCAAGTACTCCTATACTTCTTTACCAGAGCTCAGAATATTACATTTTAAAAGAAGTTATTTTGTATGAAATCTAGTAGTAAGTCACAACTAGAGTAAGCCAATTAAATCAATGGAATTTAGAGAGGTTGATTCACTAAATCCCCTCTGATCCAATAGGCCTGCCGTATTTGTAACACACTACTGAATTGATACCAGTTGCCTGAAATCTCAGTAGAACCATTAACTCTTCAGATAGGTCTATGATAAATTTGTCTCTGTCAGTTAGAGACTACACTGAAACCATTCTGATAGAGACATGGATGACACAAGCAATAACGTATGGTTTCCGGACATAAATATTTCTTCAGACATAAAGCTCATTTTAAAACCCTTTTTTTCCAATTATGTCCACAGAAGTCCACCCTTGTTTATTAAGAAACACTCCTTTGCCACAAAATATCTAGCACAATGGTCACCATCTGATTACAGCAAAACCTATCAACCCAACAATTTACCAAAAGAAAGAATCAAATCAAATGGTTCTCAGTGACATCTGTGGCAAGTCAGATTAGGATATCACGTATATCAAAGACACCTAAGTATGTGGAGACTGAAGACCAATTCATTAGAATAACCAAAGCCTTAATTTGGTTTGGATGTTTATCCTTTAAAAGAAGATTAAACATTTCAGTCTACATCTGATAATGATGCCAGAAGGCTGTGATGTTGCCTCTAGTTAAACTTTTTCTGAAATCAAGTTCTGTCCTTTAAGGCTGGAAAGAGTTGGTCACAGCGATGAGTAAATTTGTGGATTCAGTAACATTTCTTTGAAAGAATGTTTAAAAAAACATGAAATAAAGACATAGAATTTCAATTTATTCAACTTGTTACCTCTCTAGATTTAGATTAGGTATCCTTCAGTCTCAAGAGACTATGGTAACGTGCTCTGTATGGAGGACTTGGAACTGTGTCTAGTGTGGCTGAGAAGGCCAATTTGAGAGTGACAATCCCTTCTACACTGAAGACAAATACAATCTGTCCCCTGTCCAGCTCCCTGATTTACAAGGGTCCCTTCAAATTGGGAGAGGCTGTGATGCAACGTTTGCCTCCAGGCTGAATGCTCAGATGTCAGGATTTCCCATCTGTTGACATCCATTGCTAAGACCTTCAGATCCCGTTTGCAGATATCCTTGTATCGCAGCTGTGGGGTGATTTCCCTCTCGGGTGATTTCCCTGCACTAATTCTCCATACAGGAGATCATTTGGAATTCGACCATCAGCCACTCTCACAACATGTCCAAGCCAACGTAGACGTCGCTGCTTCAGTAATGTATACATGCTAAAAAATCCAGGTCATTCTAGGGCTACTCTATTTGGAACTTTGTCCTGCCAGGTGATACCAAAAATGCATTGGTGCCAGTGCACATGGAACTTGTTCAGCTTCCTCTCCTGCCATGCACAAAGGGTCCAGGACTCCCTGCAGTACAGGAGTGTGCTCAGGACACAGGCTCTATAGACCTGGATCTTGGTTTATGTAATCAGCTTCTTATTGAGCCATTCTCTCTTTGTGAATCTTGAGAACATGGTAGCTGCTTTGCCAATGCGTTTATCCAGCTCAACATCTAGGGAAAGAGTGTCAGAGATTGTTGAGCCAAGATATACAAAACCATGAACAACCTCCAATTCTTGCATGGGGATGGTAATAGAGGGAGGTGAGTCCACGCCCTGGCCCATGACTTGTGTTTTCTTCAGGCTGATTGTTAGTCTAAAGTCTTGGCCGGCCTTGCTAAAATGATTCATGAGTTGTTGGAGGTCTTCAGCAGAGTGGGCAACAACGGCTGCATCATTGGCGAACAGGAAGTCCCACATGCATTTCACCTGGACTTTGGTCTTCGCTCTCAATCTAGAGAGATTAAAGAGCTTTCCGTTTGATCTAGTCCAGAGATAGGCACCTTCTGTTGCAGTTCCAAAGGCATGCTTCAGCACGACAGCAAAAAAGATCCCAAAAAGGGTTGGTGAGAGGACACAGCCCTGTTTCACTCCACTTCGGATGTCAAAGGGATCCGATGTTGAGCCATCAAAAACTACAGTGCCTTTCATTCCCTCATGAAAGGACCTGATGACATTAAGGAGTCGAGGTGGATATCCAATCTTGATATATTTCCAGATAAACAGGTTCTACAAATCCATTCTTGCTGCCTGACCTATTTTATATTTCAAAATTAATTTCAAAGACAATATGCCTGAAAAAACGTTGTCTCCATTTCTCATACATGTACTGCAATTCTTCCTACCACAAAAGTTTCCTACCCTTAGAACAAATAGCCTTGTTTTAGCTAAATAAATAAATATTCTTTTAAAATTTACTGTCTAACCAATAGTGAAATACTGGGGATATGTCAGCCAGACATTTTGTGTCACTTAGCTTAAAACAGTACTGATGTTATATTTTGTTGGTCTATGAAAACAGCAGGAATAAACATTTAAAGGAAGGAGAAGGATTTTCACATAGTTATGTACCTTGTAAATTTACCACATCCTGTACTGTAGCGATTAGTTTGAAAAGCCATGTGATTGTTTGAAAATTAAAAGCAGATACGGATCTCTAAGATGTCTTGGTTCTCTTTTTAGAGATTTATGAGCTTCTTTAAAAATCCATAGGAACGATTGATTGATTTGTCACAGCTATATTGTCTTTCCTCCTCTAAAGGAATCTTCTTCGCATGAGAAGTAAGAATCCCCGGCGAATAGTGACCCACAGGAACTGCCTGTGTCTGAGGTTCCACCATACCCTCCAAAAAAAGTCATTGCATATCAGAGGCAGAGGAAGATCTGCAGGAGAGACAAAGCAGGGCAGAAAGCACGGCAGAAAGATCATGCCCCCCAAAAGGGACTGCTGTGTCCGAGGACCTCTTGTGAGTACAGGACTCCTTGTGTGTCAAGGCTTCCTTATGAGTTGTTCTTCTAGATGCCTTTAATAATCTCCAGTTGTACTTTGTGTAAGGATTCTGGCATAATCTTAATATCTTCAGTGTTAGCCTACAGCAGCTCCTAGAACAATGCCTTATATTAGCTTTGGGAACCTCACTTTAGCCTATCCTGCTAACACTGCAAGAAACTCTGTGTGTATGATCTAGGCTTCCTTTGGTTATTTTTTTCCTCCTTACTCCTAGGTTACTTCCTGGGACCCTGTAGGTCAGTGGTCCCCAACCTTGGGCCTCCAGATGTTCTTGAACTACAACTCCCGGAAGCCTTCACCACCACCTCTGCTGGCCAGGATTTCTGGGAGTTGAAGTCCAAGAACATCTGGAGGCCCAAGGTTGAGGACCACTGCTGTAGGTGATCTAGGACTATTTGATACATTCTCTTGACTGTTGCTGTCTGTATTGTGCTATACAATTTCCTTCACTGGCTTTGATCCTGGCCCACCCTGACACTAATATCTGGCTGCACCCTCATAGTAATGAATTCTATAAACCAGGCTGACCTAGATCAAGGCCTGCTGTCCTTGTCACGATCACCATCCAAGGACTGGGGAAAACAGAACAACTTTTCTATAAGACACGAGTTGAAAGTGTAACTTCTTCACAATCAAATCCATATGGTTTTCTCTCACAAAGTTGTTTTTAAAACTCTACTTATGTGAATCATAGTTTCCTGAAACCCTTTAGGACAGACAACAGAACAGAACATCTAGTTGAATTCTATGGCTGACCATGCACGGAGTGGATCAACCTGAAAATGAGCTGAAAAGCCACTTTTATGAGACTATCTTGTTCCTGCCAATCTTTTAATATGTCTTTATTTTCAAAGAGGTTTCAGTGGTTCTGAATTCTGTAACATATGAAAGTGTTGTTCTTAGTTCCCTCTGTTCTCAGGCTTAGAGAAACAAGATTAATACAAAATTGTTTCCATTAAGACATCTTAAGACAAACTGAATGCTTCATCTGAAACACTTTAATAAGCAAGTACATTCACATACAGTACATTATACTGTATAAGCATATGAACATATTAACTTTGTTCAGCATTTAATACAGGCTCCACTGTATATAAGGCATCTATTTCAGTAAAAGAAGTGGGTCTGCATGTTTCCAACCTGCAGCATCAGAAATAATGTTTGTGATATGATACTGTGACTACAGAGGAAAGAAGCATTGTGTCTAATTGCTACCAGTCTCCTTCTTTCAATAAAGCAGCTCTGTTAGATCTCCACCAGTGGGTGGAGCTTCTTTGTTTACTAAGGGTCAATCCTGGATCCAACCCAATAATCAAATTAAGTAAGAGAGTCTTTTTCTAAAACACTGGGCAAACTCAGGTTT